TCAGTGCGCATAAACTAGTTTGAAAATGGCTGAAACTGGTTTGAGATAAACCTGGTTGAATGTAGTATCAGACTTAACTGATTTGGGTCAAACTGGTTTATGCAATGTCTGTCCTGGACTCCTTTCTGATTTAACTTAAGCCAGAGTCCTCCGGCATCTCAGCATCTGGGCGGGGCTCTCTGCTCCAGAGCAGGACTGACCCTGCCCCTCTACTCTCTTGCTGGAGCTCTGGCAGAGACTGCAGGCACAGCAGTGTCTGCCTGGCTTCCCCTTGCCCCCCATGCCCCATCACTCTCTGCTCAAGCAGGGATTCCCTCCCCTCTCCCACAGCATGGACCATAGCCAGCATGTGGTATGCTAGCTAATGCTGAGAGGTCTGTGTAAGGCAGACAGGACAGTGTCTGCTTAGGGCTTTTTGGAGCTAATCAGAAGGTCAGCTGGTAATGTCCCTCCGTTCAGTCCTTGGAAAAAGTTGTTTAAAAAGAGCTTGAACTAATGAGAGAGGCTTTTGTTTTCTTGATGGGTTATGAAATGCTGTCTTGTCAGCTTCTTGCTGACTCTAAGGAGCAGCTTGGCGGGTGGGGGGGAATCCCTCCCTAATCAGAGTGTCCTGCCAGAGTCTGGCCACACCCCACTTCAGCAAGGGAAGGGAGAGCTGCTCTAGCACCCTTTGGCTTCTAGCCTGAGCCACTGGAGGCATGTGCCTGAATTTCTTCAGTCCAGAGGGAATGTCTGTATATTCGCAAACCAGTTCAGCCTAGCCAGGTTAGACTAACCTGCAAAGACTGAATCAATTCAGGTTTAGGCTTTTTTAATGTCTATCCCTAGCCTAAGAGACGAGCATTGCTAGACACAAACCACTGAGGAGATCAGTATCTCAAAAGGAATAGTACAAAAAGTGGTCATAGTACTAGGGAAGATTATAAGACTACTGCATGAGCATGCAGGGAGAAAATTAGGAAGGCCGAGGCACAATTTGAGATGCAGCTGGCAAGAGGCTTAAAGGCAATAAAAAGGGATTCTGTAAATAAGTCAGAGGTAAACCAAAGAAACCCTTACAGAATGCAGAAGTCAGTCTAGTTACAATACTTACAGTGTCTATAAGGTGCTTTGAAATCCTGTGTAAATAAAAGGTGCCATGCTTATGCAAATTCCATGCATCATATTATCTTTTTCTTTCTGTTACATTTTAATAGAGTATTAAGATTATGTTAAATTATATTATCCCCCAAAACTATAAGGAGATATGAAACAGTTACTTAAAGAAAAATGCCTGTAGTAGATTACATTTTATAAATATTAGCGGAAGCAAAAGTAAACAATTCAAATCAAAGTCTATTTTAATTTGATATGGAAGTAACTTTTTTATGGGCATCAAGTCTTGGCTAGAGTGAAATAAGCGCACAATTTGTGATCATTATCCTGGTGCATATCATTTACTATTTTTAGGTATAAAAGTGCATAATATATTAATTATATTATTAAACACAGTACAGCACATTTTTTTTAAATCTGAGAAGAACAATTTGCATATCTCATTGTGGTTGTACACAACCAGCAGTTGCAGTTGTGGGAGGGTTTTTTCAAAGGAGCTGGAGCATGTTGAAGGGTAAGGCAGCAAAGGAGAAAAATAAATATAGGAAGATTACATAAAACCAGTGTATTGAAAACATATTTGTTTTGTTTTTTTAAAAAGAAGCATATTCTCAATAGAGCTAAAATCATTTCTTTTCAGAGTTCTTTGACTACATTAATGTTCTGGATTTGCTCTCGGGTTTTATGATAACGTCACGAACTTTAAATGGACTAATAACTTGGTTTAATTTTTCCAAACGAACACATTATATAAAGATACTTTAAAGATTATATTGTTTAATTTTTATTAAAGGAGTTTATTAAAGTATTTTCCTGCCATATAAAAATATAAGTCTAAAAAAGCATAGTACTTCCCATTTTCAAAGCACTATACATTCAAACATTAATAAAGCAATCTACTGCTAAGGCACATTACTGGATTATTATCACATTTTCCACACTGTTCTTGAAGATTTCACCCATTGCCTAAAATGTTTAAAAACGGCAAAAATATAAACATCCATTTTTAGAAGCCCTACATTCTAAATATAACAAGTACCATGGCCTTTGATGGTAGTTTATATCAAAATAATGCTTTTGCATCTGATATTGCATTTCAGACAGAAAGCGAGCCATCTGTGAAACTGAAAATAAAGATCTAACATAGTAAGGGCTAGGAAGAGGACTTGATTATCACGAGGACTGGCAGTACCAGTTCATCTGTTGTTGAATACCGCATCTCAACGAAGTCTTTGTATTTAAAATAAGTAAATTTCCTGAACCATGTATTTGTGTTTATTCACAGTACTGTACTTGGTTACTGATGACAAGCGACTGATTGAACTGGCAAGTTCCCCTGGTTCTCTATATTAAGGGCAGTTCTGCAAATCACAGTTATTACAGATAATTCAGTAATAAGAGTTTGTACGAACAGACTCTTAGGTCCTATAGTAGTACTACCAGGCTGTCCACAATATTATATTCTGTTAGTATCTCCTTTTTCTCTCTCCCTTATACCTGTTTTGTAATTAACATATTCTGTGCATTATTTGTACAAAACTTAGTGTAAAATATATTTCCTTTATGTCTTTGTGGTGTCTTGTCTTGAAGGTTGAAGTATTTTATTATTTAATTGCTTGTCTCTCCATTCTTAAATCAAATATGTATTTTTTATCAATTTAAAGGCAAGAAATCTTTTTAAAAGATTATTATTTTGTTGCAGAAGAACCATCTTCCTCATATCACACTAGTCATCTAGGAGGTGATGATGTTAGCATATGGTCAGGAGCACCTGATGAAGGACTTGAGCTGACTCAGCATCTCAAAGAAAGCAGCTTTGCTGGACTGGAAATGGACCCTGAAAAGGAGGAACTGATTCTAAATATTAGTTCTCGACTGCAGGCTGCTGTTGAAAAACTTCTGGAAGCCATCAGTGACACCAGCAGTCAGGTAGGATTTCCATTTTGTAATAAATTTCCAGTTTGCATTGGAAAGTCTTTCTTAATTTGTTCTCCTAAAAATATTCTTTGTTTAGGTGTAAACTGTTAGTCCATAAGGAAAGTAGAATATTTTTGAATTTGTGTTAGGTTCTGATCTTCCAAACCCAGAAGGACCTTAAAAGCATACCTTTTTACAGCTTTAAAGGCTTGCCGTATGCAACTCTTACCCAAAGTCTTTGTGTCAGTGATCTTCCAACATGAAAAAGAAACGTATACTACCTGAAAACTGGAAGCACTTCTCTGTATATTAACTTTTGGTTTTCTGCAATGCAGCAAAAGTAAATGCTCTTTTAAAGGCATGTTCTGCCATATTTTATAGCTAATTTAGGTAATCTTATTTATTTGCTTATAGAAGCACATAACTGATCTGTGTATTGTGTTGATGGGGTAGGTTTGTTTTGGTTTTGTTTCCTGTTTGCCTGATTTTTTTTTTTTCTTGGTCGTACGCTACAAGAAAGCAGACTAGATGCTGCTGATCCATTCTGATATACCAAATATGTTACTATGCATCACTTTTCTTTTTCTCTTTTCTTTTCTCTTTTTTTTTGTAAATTAATCCCTTTAGTTTTTATAAACTGGATTTTGTATACACAAAGGAGGGCTTCGTTGATGGAGTGGACCATAAAGCTTCTCAATGAGCTGGATATGTGCAATCTGTGTGGTCAGTAATCTAAGAAGTAGGAGAAATTTAATTATGGGGAAAAGGATGTGTTAGTTCATTGGGGCAACTTTAAAAAGAGGCTAAATGTTGACAAAACGTAACTCCAATTACTAAAATTTATTGGAAAAGTGGCATTTTCCCATATCACTATGCATACATGAATATTTAAAGTATGCCTACAATAGCAACTATAACAATTATTGTCTGCAGTAAATATATGTCCATAATAGCGGTCAGACTTATTTCATGAATTTAAAAATACTGCTTTTCTATTTTTAAATTCAAATACAGATAAAATAAGGGCATAAAGATGTGCTAAAACTGACAAAAAGCCAAAACTAGTTTCTCTACCTTTTATCTAATGATGTTTTCCTTTTAGTTTGTTTTTAATCTTTATTGTGGCCAGAAACTTATATTTTCTTGGGCTTGTGTCCCTTTTGAATCAGTCTTGAATATTGTTGCTTTATAATCGACACACGTCTGGACAAATTATACTGCAGAATTAATTTGTGAATATAGCCATCATTATCACCAGATTTGAGGAATATATTCATTCCTCCTAAAAGAGGGCAAGTGAAAAAAACAAGAACAAATGCTAAGCTGTTAAGTACTGCAAACTCTGTCAAAGAATCATAGAGAAGTATGGCCAAAAGGGATCTCAGTGGGTCATTTAGTCCAGGGTGATTGCTTAACTGGAGCCATTTCATCTGGCCTGTGGGACTTCCCAGGGGTCTGGAGATTTGGTGGCAGGGGAGCAATGGGAGCATGAATTGCCTTTCCTCTGCTCCCCTGCTGCCAAATGTTTGGACCTGCAAGCCAAATAATGTGAGACTGCATGCAGGGTTGGGCTCACGCACAGCCAGATTTGTGTGTGGAGTCAGGTTGACATGTTGCATCGACCCCATGCATCAACCCTGCACAGGATCCATCCCACAAAGTAATCTACCTGTCATCCAGCCTATCTAGTTCAACTCCTTGTTCAAGGCAGAATTATCCTTGATTAAACCATCCCGCTCAACTGTTTGTCTAACCTGCTCATAAAAACTTCCAGGGATTCTAGTCTCTCTGGGTAACTTAAAGTACTCTCATAGTCAGAAATTACTTCCTAATTACCAACCTAATTATGCCTTGCTGCAATTTAAGGCCATTGTTCCTTTTCCTGTCCTGTGCAATCACAATTAGTCTGTCTCTATTCTCTTTACAGCCATCCTTCAGGTATATGAAGACCTTTATCAAATCCCTCCCCCCACTGTCTTCCAGACTAAATAACCCTATTTCTTTCAGTGTTTCCTCATAAATCATGTTTCCCAGAACTAAGCATCATTTTTGTTGCTCTCAACTGGGCTATTTCTAACTTGTCCACATCTTTCTCAAAGCAAGAAGTTGAAAATGACACACCATCCTTCAAGTGAGGTATCAGCAGTGTCAGGGAGAATCTCTTCCCATGACATATTGTTCCAATAATACAGCCTAGTATGCTATTGGTCTTTGTTGCAAGAAGGACACACAGTTGGTACACGCTGACCACAGCTTGCGGTCCGCTTTAACCCTTACTTCCTTCTGTACAGTATTTCAGCTTAACCAGTCATTCCCCAGCCTGTATTTATGCATGCAGTTATTCTGTCCCAAGTGCAGGACTCTGCACTTGTCCTTATTAAATTTTCATTCAGTTGATTTGGGATCATTTCTCCAGTTTATCAAGGATGTTCTGAATCCTAACCCTACCTTTCAGATCGTCTGCAACTCTACCCCACTGTTAGAGGTTTTCAGGAGTATTGCAGCTTACAATATATATTAGTTTTCTTTACAACATAAAGTAAACAGCAAAGGGTGGAGTAGCTATTTGTCTTCATCTTTATTTTATGATACCAGTCAGAAAGTATACTTTTAAGTCTGCTCTTCTCAATAAGTTATGTTGATATATTTTCACATATTACGCTGGTGCTTAGTAGTCCTGTCAAATTATTTAATTTTCATTATAATTTATTTATAGTTATTTTGTATAAGTTTTGATATTTTTTTTATTTTTACATCTTGCATGACAACTCAAATTCATAATGCAGGCTCTTCTCACAGAAAATATAAAATGGAGCATGTAATATTAAAAAGTAAGCATACAGACTGTTAAGGGTGCCCCACTACAATATCTAAACTTCTGGTATTTAAACTGTAATGTGGGATTGATAGATGCTTACTTTGGGGTGTCCAGTAATGAAACTTGTTCTCTTCCAGTCCCTGTTTTTGTAACATTAACAAAGGGCAATGCAAATATTGCTTTGGAAACCATTCTAAATACTAATAGGCAATATATTACAATTTCAGCAAAACTGACATAAATGAAGTTGCCAGATCAGTCTGACAGATTTAGTTCTATAGGATACACTGGTTTGAGACCAGTCTTCTATATCCGTATGCAACAATGATAGTACTCAATGAATTACCATTTTTACTGGCATAACACACGCCTTTCCTCCAAAAATCATTCCTCCAATATTGGGATGCATGTCTTTTGTAGGGAAGTTGATTTTTCTTTGCTGAAATAGAATTACAGACATAAAAGCAAGCAGACACTGCAACCCGTTGCTGCCAAGTTGTCTGCTGCTTCTCTGCACCCCTGAAAGCAGAAGGAGCACAGAGTCCAGTGTTAACCCCCTCATAGCTGGACCATTTGGTGCTGGCTCAGAGCAAGTGAGCTACTGCATACAGTCTGTAGTATGTTGGTAAGGCTTGTGGGATAGAGACAACCCTTTATTATTTACAGGAGCTTACCATATAAAGAACTATTTAGTATTTACAGCAAAGAAGTAATAGTCTTGCTGCTTCCCTTGTGTGCTTCTAGGACCTTCCACTGCAGCACTTCTGCTAGTTCACCATAAGCTATCTCCTGGGATGCCAATCTTCCTGGGCACTTGGTTTCCAGAAGGACTTGCTCTGTTACACAATCCATAACACTCGAAATCTTTTTTTCTACATTCTTCCTTCCAAAAATAAGGTGTGCATTTTATTTTGGGCATGTGGCAAGTAAGGGAATACGGTATAGTCCAGAAATAACTCTTGCATCAATGTTCTAACACCAGCTGAGACATTCCTACCTTCATTTTGCTTGCTATGTCTATCCGTTTGTTTTAAAAAAAAATTTAATGTGAAAATTCTCTTAAGAATTTTCCATTGGAGGAATGTATATTGTTTGGAGCAGTTTGTGTTATGTTCTCAATCCTCTAGAAAAATGCCATGGTTCTTTTATTCCCCCCTCCCCCCCCCCCCCCCCC